ATTTACGTGTGGCCAAGCCTGGGAATCTCGTGCTCACAACAGACAGCAGAGCAGAGCGTTCACACCTGGGGGAGCGTAAGGTGGTGATAGCTAAACCGAAGAGGCTTGATTGTCCGGTGGTGCCGAATTCCCCGGGGTCTCATTGACCCTTCGAAGCCAGTGGAGGCTAAGAGCACTCGATAGCTCTAAAAAAATCAAGTTAGTAATAACACCCAGCTCTTCGAATAGTGCTTTTCACCAGTAGATCTCAAAGCACTTTACAGAGGAGGGCAGTATCATGAGCCTCATTTTACCGATGGGGAAACTGAGGCACGGGGTGGTGACGGGACTTGCCCAACTTCACGCAGCAGGCCAGTGGCCGAGCCAGGAATAGAACCCAGATCTCCTGGTTCCCAGTCCAGTGCTCCATCCCCTAAATAAACATGAATAGCTCTCGCTATCGCCATGGCATGGAGAGAGTTTACAGCAAAGTCCCTGCTAGCAGGAGCTAGGTGCTCTACACGCCAAGCAGTGCGCTTACATGCTGGGGTTTAGTAGGGGGTAGCCAGGCAAACCACCCCTCCTCCAGGACAGCTGCAGCCCCTGGACCCCAGCATCCATCTCTGGTCTGTATCGGCTGCCTATTGTCTAGTAGTCATGTGCATCTAGTGGCATTTAAATCCCAGGCTGCATGAGACCCGGACTGGGCGCTTGGATGGTGACCAGTGGCACCTGAGCTCAGATCAGCTGACTGGCCATCCCCGAAGCCGCCAGGTGCTCTGGGGCAGGTGGGCAAAGCTGCCCTGTTTTCGGCCTGCATGCAGGGAAGGATCTGGGGTGAATGGTGCGTTTGCAGGCTGATCCTTGGCGCCCCTAAAGTGCTTGGCTTCAACCCAGTATTTCAGTGGCTGGGCCAAGCATGTTCCAACCCCCAACTGTTTATATGACCCCCCTTCCCACCCCCGGTCTCCCAGCTGGCTGTAGGTGCCAGAAGGGAGGGGTGGATGGGCACTGGGGTTTCCACCGCTGCCTTAACCAAATCAGCCGGAGGGAGCACATTTGCAAGGCAAATGGGCCATTGCTTTATGGGGTAGCTGCACGCAGCCTCGCGCCCCTGCCCTGCGTCGAGCCTGGCGCAGGTGGCAGGGGCTATTGTGAAAGCAGGGTTTGTCTGCCACCCTCTTTGCTTTTAAACACGGGTGAGGCCAGGGCGGGCACCGCACGAGACTTGAACTGGTGGCCGGAGTGAAGGCGTTAAACCGCTTCTGGGAAGCCCGAGCTCTCGCCCTCCCGTTGAAGGCCCTTTGCTGCTTCGCGCCCCTGGCAATCTGATCCGCCCCCTCTGATCCGACAACGCCCCCCGGCCTGCCCTCTGCTTCCCCCAGCACCATCACGCTTTCACCCCTGCTGCCACCGACCCATGGCGCACCAGCCTGTCCTTCCAGCTCCCACAGCAGCTGGGATCTTCCTGGGTTCCTGGGTTCTGTCTCTCTCTTCACTGGGGTGGGGGATGGTTGCCTCTACCACCCCCCTTTTCCCCATGCACCACCCCTTCCCAAGGGCCCGCATTGGAGTGTATTGCCTCTCACCATTGCACGGTGTCTGACCAGCTGGTCTACAGCCACCTGCCCCGTTTGTCCAGTATGTACCCCTTTGCATGGCTAAGTGAAAGACAGCCCCTGATTGGAGCTTAGGACGGGCTGGTACAGCGCCTAGCACAACAGGGCACCCGTAGGGGCTAATAGCAGCGGTTGTCAGGCCTGGCTTATTGGTTTGCCCCAGGCTCCTACAGACGCACAGGAAAGTGGACAGCTGGCATGCAAACAGGAAGGACGGCCAAGTCACTAGGACATTTGCCTAAGCCTTAGGAGACTGAGGTGGGAGCCCCTGCTCTGCCACAGATTTCCTCCATGAGCTTAGGCAACTCATTTAATGTCTCCGTGCCTCAGTTTCCCCAGCTGTACAAGGGGGATGGGGGCCAGCAAAGTACCGAGGCTGGCTAGTTGATGCAGCACGACAGCACCCCGCGGTCGAGTCCTTGGTTAAAGAGTTTATTGGAACATCTTGTGCGCAAACCTTCATTCCACATTCAGAAAATAATTTACACTTGAGATTATAAATTAATTGGGGGAGGGGGGTTCTTCACAGTGTAAAAATATACAGGACAGACTCAGTCTGGTGAGCTCCCAGCATTGCATTGTGCCTTCTAACCCAGCCCCACGCCGTCAAGTGGGAGGGTGCGGAAGCTGAAGAGAGGAGGGTGGCCCGGGAGAGAGTTGAAGGGAGAGAGACGGAAAGTCAAGGCCAGAGCAGCCCGAAACCTTTTCCCTTGGCCGACACGCTTCCCTCTGGCCTACACGCATCCCTCTGGCCTACACGCATCCCTCTGGCCGACACGCATCCCTCTGGCCTACATGCTTAAAGCAAGAAGGAAGTGATGGCCCGTTTAGCTTGGCAGGATGTTCTCTCCCACCCCAGGAGGTCTAAGCCTTCTCCACTAATCTAGACTCTCCTGGCAGTTGCTCCGCTGTCAGTTAGCGGTAGCTTCAGCGTAGTCACTGGAAGACTCTTGGTTCACACCAGCCGATCACCGGGTTGAATCTAATCCTGCGCACTTAGACTGGGCCAGAGGATCTTGTGAACAAGGAGGGCTGGGAAAACAAGCACAAGCAGCCATCTGGGCTGGTCATCTCCTAGCAAGATCTCCCTATCTCCCCCCCCAGCTAGCTAGGATCACATAGCCCACGGAGGGGACAGAGCGGCATCCGTAGCCCCATCAGTCTTTGGCACAGTAGCTCCGGCATGAAACGGAAGCTCTTTCCACTTCGGAAGTGATTGTATGTACACATTATCGATACGTCACACTAGGTAAAATAATATATATATATATATATACACACACACACACACACAAACACACACTCTACAGCTGTCAGCTCAGGAGATCATTTAAAAACTAATCACAGTGCATAGGATAGAGAGTGTGTTGGGCCCAAGAAATGTTTGATTCTCAAGATAGAGGCAAGAATGTATCGTTCGTCCTCTTCCGCCCAGGGGAACAGGACTCGCCGCCTTCTCCAGGCCTCACTTCTTATCCAGCTGGCAGTACAGGTACATGGATACCACCATGGCTGCGATCTAAAGAGAGGGCAGTCGGTTAAATATCTCCTGCTGCCCAGGGAGGCCTTTTCTTCTTTCTCCTCATTGGCCAGACGCAGCCTCTAGATCACGCAACTGCTACCCCATCTCCTCTTGTTTTGTGGCTCCCCCTCCGTGATCCCAACTCAAGCGCCGGGCTCCGGGGTGCCCGGGCTGGGGTTGGAGCCATTGGTGGTCACAGATGCTCTGACAGCTTGGCTGGGCGCCCCGGGAGCAGAGGAGACAAGCTTGAGCCTGCAGCCCAGGAGGAGGAGAGCTCAGAAGTGGAGTCAGTGACTCTAGACTCTCCCCTACTGGACGTGCCCCTTGTTTGGAGCAGTGGAGGGGAGACAGTGGGACGGCAGCCGAGCAGACCTACGTCCCCACCTAGGGTGACCCGATGTCCCGATTCTCTAGGGACTGTCCCGATTTTGGGGTCTTTTTCTTAGATAGGCTCCTATTACCTCCCACCCCCTGTCCTGATTTTTCACACTTGCTGTCTGGTCACCCTAACCCTGCCCACTTTCTACAGCCAGGAGCCAGCGTGGGGACTTACCTCTAGTGCACAGATCCCTGCCGCCACGCCCCCCACCACGCCCGCGTTCGTGCGAATGTCGCTCAGCAGCTGCTGGAAGCAACCCTAGGGGGAAATGGAAACCCGCTCGGTTAGAAAGAGCCGGAGCCAAGCAAGCGATGGAAGGTGGTTGGAGCAAGGCGGCTGATGCCCCGTCAGCGGAAGGCCGCAGTCCCCCTGCTGGGTTTGCCAGCACCGAGCGACTTGCTGTGTGCTTCTGAAGGGAGTGCCATGGTGAGCGCTGACTCTGCTGTTTGAGAAGGGCGGGAGTGTGCCCGGCGGTGCCCTGACGGTATAGACCAAGCAGGACACCCATAGTATACGGGCACTTCAGGGATCAGTGAGGCTCAGGTCAGCTTCCCAACACCCAGGAGGACCCCAATATTAACAGGGTTCAGGAAGTCAGGCCAATTTGAGGGGTCTTGATTTGAGCACAGCCTCCCCTCCCCATCCTCCCACTCCCAAATTAAAAGCACCCAGTCTTGGCCACTTCCACTAGATGTCCAAAAATGCACCGGATGGTAATCGCCACAGGGGTTCTGTTCCGCAGCGGAGAATAACTCCAAGCAGGAAGGTCAGTGCTCATGCAATGGGTTAAGCAGGATTTGTACATCCTACATGAATATAATGCATAGCGCTGGGTCAGGTACTTTTGTTACACGTGATCTATAGAGTCTAGTTACTAAGACAGTCACCAAGAGGGTCAAACAGCGATAGGTTTGAACGCCATATATTGTGTGCTTGTGATGGTTTGAAAGGGGACTCAGCTTCGGAGGAGATTTGGGCCTCGTTTCTGGACCAATGTGATAGGCACATTAAATACATTTGTACTCCCAGTGCATTCGTAATGGCCTGGACTGTTGCTTCTACACACAACTCCCTCCCACCCATCCCTGGGGAGGTCTTCCGTGACCCTATTATTTTTCGGCCAAGTGTCTAAAGAACCTTCGTATAAAGAGAATAACCTATTGGAATCTAGACAAAATCCCCTAGACCAGGCCAGAGTTATCTGCAGGGTCAGCCTTGCTCATGTGTACCACCTACAGGCCTCCAAGCCCTTCGCAAGCTGTGTCCTCATCCCCACACTTACAGGTAGGGAAGGGACGTAGAGAGGGCAAGTGACTTGGCCAAGGTTGTAGAGCAAGTCAGTTGCAGAGATGGGAACAGAAGATAAGCTCAGGCCCCCAGTGCAGTACAAACCTGCTCCTCCTCTGCCTTATGCCACACTTCTGTGATTCACAAACTAGTCCCACCTCCCTCTCCGATGGGAAGGGGACAACCCCAGACCCTTCAAGAGCAGATGTCAGAGAGGGACAGTGGCCCAGTTTCCACAGCAAACCCACGCCCTTCTAGCCGGGTGGGGTCCTGCAGCCATAAGGCAGAAGCTGCTGTCTCTCCATACCTGGACGTTGCTGTCGTGTGCAGCTGTCGCATTGCACTGGGTGCTGACGGGTTTGCAGCAGAACTCTGGGTACGTGTTGTTGTGTTTCTTGTAGTAGTAAGAGTCATTGAAGTCTGTGTAGTTCGTCAAGCCGCAGCATTTCACCTGGGAGGAGGAGGCAGAGGAGTGAGAGCAAGGAACAGAACGTGCCCAGCGCCATCACGTCCCAACCAGAGACCTCAAAAAGCTCCACGGACAGATTACAAAGCGGTTAATCTCGGGGCCTGTCTCTACCCTACGGGGGTGGATGAAGCCGTCTGGGGCGACGGTACAGCCAGTTAGAACAGGATGGGAAGCAATGAGGATAATGCATCCAGCCGAAATGGGGAGGAAGGCAGAATGTCGTTCCCCAAGCTGGAGCTGGGCCAGGATTCAGGGTCCAACCCCAACTCTCGAGAGAAGAGGGGCCTTTGACGACCACAACTTGTCAGAGGCAACTGCAGTCTTGTGCATTTTGTCCCAGTGGCCGCGACTACCTGATGGGCGGCGGTCTGTGTTGCCACAGAGGGGAGCGGGCTTGGTTCCAGACACTTGTACCCCATGTGCATTTGAAGTTATGTCCCCCATCACCCATAGCCCAGGAGGGGACGTTCAGTGGATGGGCTCAGATGGGAACTCTTCCATCCATCAGCAGCCAAAGAGCAGTAGACACAGGGTTTGGAGGGCGATCAGAATGAAGGGGGCTGGGGCCGGCGCGTTTGCTCCTAGCTCAGACTCGGGTGTCAGCTGAGGCGTGTTGACTTTCAGCTTCTCGAACATGCAGTCGAGTGGCTCACTCGGGAGCTGTGCTCGCCGAGCGGGCAGAGAAGATCTGTCCCAGGCAGGCAACCCCGGGAGGAGCCAAATCCCAGCAGTCAGGCTCCAGGAAGCTCTTACCTTACTCATGGTGGTGTCCCAGAACTGCGTGACTTCAGGAACCTTCCCATACTGATCCTTCAGCGTCGGAGTCACTGTTGATTCCAGGATGGTCTCCGCCTAGAAGAGAGTTCAGATGCCATCACAGCGGGAATTAGCCCAACGGCCTTGCGCGCACGCGGGGAGAGGCCAAGGCTTAATGGGGTTCTTGGAGAATCCTACAGGCCAGCGTCCAGGTACACCGGCAACCTCTGCATGCGGGAGGAGGGCTGCCCCGGCTATACCAGGTAGGTGGGCACGCCGGGGGAGTTTGCTGTGCTGGCCCCTTTCCCCAGGAACGGACTCGCTGTGGGACAGGTCGAAGAGTTCCCCAGTTGCGTAAGACGCGTGAGGTCTGTAAGCAGGAAGTGAGAACAGGAACGACCGTCCCCGAGCGGGTCTGACACCACCCTGGCCTACGGCACAGGACGTTCCCGGCAGCAGCTCAGGATTGCTGCCACACAGAGCGGGCCAGAGCTGTCATCTGCTCTGCCACCACCTGCGGCGTTCACTTTTCCGCCTCCGTTTCGCTTCCCAGGGCTCACGCTGCAGAGTGCTGACACTGCGGGGGAATAGACTAAATCCACATCCCCTCACCCCCCATACAACACTGGGCAGCCTCGCCCCCCACCCAGACAGGGCTGCGTCGCACCAGGCCTGAGAGACTAATTGCCGAGAGAGACTAGCCCCAGGGGTAGGGCATTCCCACTTCCCTCCTGCCCCACTACCGCCGTGAGTGAGGCCAGACCCTCAGCACCCATCAGGGAGGACCGATCTCAGCTCCTCTGGCGTCCCCCTTAGCGCAAGGCCTAGAGTAAAGTCCTCCCAGGAACGGGCAAAGGAGACAGAGGTTGCATTAGCCGAGCCGAGCAATCTGTCCCTCCCACCCCCCTCTGACTTACGAGAGACGTGTAGACCAGCGCCACCACCGCAGCAGCGATCTCAGCAATGAAGATGATCAGCACGATCGAGAAGAACTAGAGGAAACACAACGCGGAGGTCAGAGACGGGACGGAGTCCAAGCCCATCTAGCTGGGGCTGGCCACAGCGCTGCCTGCTTCCTGTGGTGGTTAGCAGGGCTGGGTGCAGCCCCGGGGAGAAACCTGGGGGAGGCCAAGCTGGCTTCAGCTAGTTCACAAGCGGGTGAGGAAGGGGGCGAGAGATTGTTCCCAGGGGGTCTCCCACGGCTTGGGCGAGACAGGGTTTACTATCAAGCAGGGAAGCGTGGGATTTTGAGGGGGCCACTCAATATTCAGACATGTATTGAGTGGCCTCATCCTGGGATCAAATCTACCCCGTGTCAAGGCAGCAGCTGTGTCCCCCGCATGTCCAGACTGAGACTGCAAATGCAGACCACTGGCCTGACAGACCCCACCTCCCTCCTGGAGGTACAAAGCCCACTTCTTCCACCATCCTACCCCACGTGCAGCTCGAGAAGCGGGCTAGGCAGACCGAGCGAGCGCGGATTCACGCCGCCCGGAGCTGGAGATTTACCATGATCAGGAGGCATTTGCTCTCTTTCTGGGCCCCGCAGCATCCCAGGAAGCCAAGCACCACCAGGATGGCGCCGATGACGATGAGGAAGTAGCTCACGTTCACAAACAGCAAGGTGCTGGACGAGCCAAATATGTTGGAGAATGAGCTCCCGTCCACGGCGACCCAGATCCCGACACCCAGGAGCGTCCCTCCGCCAAGCTAGGAGGCAAGAGAGAGGCGCGCGTTATTTCAGAGGTGGCTTGGAAAGGACTAAGGGACATGGTGTCTGGAGCCAGCACCTTATTGACGGGAGCTAGAAAGGCAAGACCATCTTCTCCTTTCACTTCTAGTTGTGAAGGTTCTGCTCTCACGCTAACTGCAACGTTCCTTCCCCTCTAGCTAGTCTGCCCTCCCCAGCACGCACTGGTGACCCAGGGCTGGCCCTTTCGCGAAACAGAGGAAGGGCTCCTGGAGCAGATTAGAGGTCCCTTGATTTGGGGGATAATCTCGGGTGAGTTAGCAAGAGTGAAAAGCGGTGCGATCCAGCTCTCCTAGAGCAACCATAAGCTGCCCATGAAACATGGACAATCCGTAACAGGGCGCGGCCCTGACCACTGGTCTCTATAGAGACAGATCGTGTTGTCGATTCACTCAAGTGCACAGGGGAGGGGTTCACGGTAGGCAAGGGAGCCGGTGTGATTTGTTTTGGCTCAGAGGCGGGGCTAAGGGCACTGTGATTTGCACAAGAGAGATTCGGAGACCCCCTGATTAGGCTTGGAACAGCTGCTCAGTCACTGGCCGGGGCTGTTTCTGGAACGGGGAGACCCAGGAAAGCTCTGACATGGCACGTGGGTCTCGGGAAACTTCCTGATTTCTACCCCAGGGTCAGTCATTTCCTCTGATTAATGCCTGGCACTGGCTGAGGAGATTTTAACCTTCTGCTTTCCCGGACAGGTCTTTGTACTTGCATTCCAGCACGGGGTGGGGCAGATAAACCCTGATGCTGGTGGAGTGGGAAGGAGAGCCCGGCCACTGCACCAGCCTCACCCACTCCAGTCAGCTCTTTGCGTCGGCCAAGGTCATTACAGTCAACACATGGTGAAGGGCCCCTCACTTCAGAGGGACAGGGTCTGAAGTCAGTGCCTGACCCCGGAAGAGCGATCGGTACCCAAGTGTGCCACCGATGTTTGCCCCCCCTATACGCCCCATCACCATCTCGCCCCCTCCCCATCCACCTAGCTACCTCCCTCTCCTCATTTAAATTCCTTCCCGAGTCTCCAATGCCACCCTCGGGTGAGTCATTTGCCAGAAGCCCCTGTCAAGCCATTCCTCCCTCTCCTAGACTAAGGGCAGAAGGGACCGTCACAATCATCTCGTTTGATCTGCTGCGCATCACAGACCACAGAACCTCACCCGCCCACTCCAGAAATAGACGCGGAACTTCTGGCTGAGTTACTGACTTCCTCAAATCATGGTTTAAAGACTAAGTTATAGGGAATCCACTATTGACAATAGTTTAAACCTGCCAGTGACCAGTGCCCCATGCTGCAGAGGAAGGCGAACCCCCCCCCCCCACGGGATTCTGCCAATCTGACCCGGGGGAAATTCCTTCCCAACCCCAAATATGGTGATCAGTTAGACCCTGAGCATGTGGGCAAGACCCAGCAGCCAGACACCTGGGAAAGAATTCTCTGGAGTAACACAGAGCCCTCCCCATCGAGTGTCCCATCACCAGCCATTGGAGATATTTGCTGCTAGCAGTCGCAGATTGGCTCCATGCCATTGTAGGAAGTGTCATCATCCCATCCCCTCCATACACTTATCCAGCTCAGTCTTGAAGTCAGTTAGGTGTTCTACCTCCCCAGCTCCCTCTCGCCTTTCAGAACTGGGACCATCAGAGCAGAGACATCTCCACAAGAAGCACCACGCGGCAGGAGGAGCACAATGTCTCGGGCCGGGAGGGCAGAATCCCCGTCCCCACATCGGCGTCCAAGTGGACGAGCATTCTGGAGCCTCCCGTGTTTTGCAGCCATCGTAGGACCTGACTAGCCACAGGCTTCAGCAGAGGTCGGGCCCGTCTCGGCATCAGCACAAGCCAGGAGGAGACCACCCGCATGTCCTCATTCGGAGGCGCTGCCCCTTGGGATCAGACAAGCTTCCCCCTGTGAGGGTCCGTGTAGGGAGACAAGGACCTCAGCCCGTCTCTGAGGGCCACAGCAAGAGCGGTTGGGAGAAGAAAGGAAGAATCATGCGGGCCAAAGAGCTTTCCCGGGCTGATCATTCCAGCTACATTGGGCTAGCGGGGACCCAGGCAGTCAGCCTCCCTATCCGTATCTCCTAGCCAAGCCCAGGGGGAGAAATACACTGAAGAGAACTATTTCCCTCTGGCTGGGAGAACGGCTTCTCCTGTGGGACGCCGCAGGAGCCGAGCAGCTCCGTCCTTGCCCCAGCGCCACAGAGACAGCTCTGCCTTTGAACACATGCCAGCTGAGCGAGAACAGGCGGCCTTGTCCACCGGGCGAATGAAGCCGTGTCCTTTGGGGCAGGGGAAAACAAAGTCACCGGAGAAGTCACTCGTCACCTCCATTATAACCCCCCACAGCTGAGCTTTTCTCATTGGATCCAGAGCAGAGGCGGATGGAGAAACCCTCCATCAGAGCCACCTGGGAGGAACCTGAGAGGAGCAGACGCGTCAGCCCGTCGGGGGGAAAGAGACAGAGCCATTATTATTGCATTTCCCTGCTAGTCTCAATGCTGCCTTGGTTTCGGAGCCGCTAGCTCCGCCCTCCAGGATTTGGACTTGACGCTATTCATGGTCAGGTGCCCCTGGGAACGTGGGAGAAAAACAATCAGTAATTGGAAAGACGGCAGCAGATCCCAGTAGATCCTCGGAGCCAGTGGGGGCAGAGTAGGGTGACCAGATGTCCCGATTTTATAGGGACAGTCCCAATATTTGGGGCTTTTTCTTATATAGGTGCCTATTACCCCCCACCCCGTGCCGATTTTTCACACTTGCTGTCTGGTCACCCTAGGGCAGAGAGAGCTACAAACCAGAGCTGGCTGCGAAAAGAACAGGATTCCTTCCCACCCCACCCCTCGGCCAAAAATGTAGACGAAACAAAAGAGGGGGTTTTCTGATGGCTCTGCCCTGCCCCCCCAGGACAGCAGACGCTTCCTCTGGATTTTCAATTAAAGGAGAATTTTCCATTAAAAAAAAAGGTTTTGATGGAAGATTTCTGGCCGGCCCTATTACAACCCCCCCACCTGGCAAAGTGAGAGAGACAGAGCGTCTCCTGTCCGGCCCGGGAGTCCGCCTGTTGACAGGGAGAGGCCTGAGGGGGAAAGAAGAGAGGGCAGGGCCTTCAGCCCCGCTTTCTCATCCTCCCCAAGTATAACTGGGTGCAGTTCTAATCCTGCCAGCCTCGGATGCCACCCTCGTGAATTGAGGCGATCGACGAGCCCCAAGTCGGAGGGGTCAGAACAGAGCGAAACTGAAGACAACTTTCTAGCCAGCACCTGGCCCCTGTGGCTTTCCAGGGTACCCCACGCAGACGGCAGGGCCAGGAGCCGAGCACAGAGGCCCTGCGGGCTCGTACTGTACCGAGGGAGTGAAAGAGACAGAGAAAATAAAACACGCTTCTGCGGTGGTGGAGCTCCCGGGGACCAGATAGATTTCCATCAGCAGGGTGGCCTGGCTGGATACAGGTTGCAAAGGAGAAAAAGCTTTCGGATGGATCCTGGTGTCACTGCCCCCTCGCCCCGCTCTCCTTCCAATGCCACGGGTGCGATTGCCGCCTACGGCGAGGGAGGAGAACAATCAGTGACCGTCGGAGACAGTCTCAGTCCGGAGCCATCATTGGAGTCCCCTGGCAATCCCGGCGGCGTGGCCTTATTCAAAGCGAATCCAGGTACCGGGAACAGGTGCACCATGGCGCGGGCTGCAGAATCCATCAACCGCCTGCGTTTCCTGGAACCGCTCCAGCAGGACGTCTTGTTCTGGCCAACTCTGGGGTGGGGCTCTTAGGGAAAGGGGGCTGGTTATAGCCCACCTGCACCCTGGAGAGGACCCTACTGCAGGAGTGGCTTACATTTCCTATGCGGCTAGCTGTCCAGTGTAGGTGATCGCCTGAGGGTCTGGTTTACTGGTTGCAGAGGGCAATACGCTCCAGTGTAGAAACAGAATGCTTACGGTCTGACACGATCTATCAGCGTCACAGCCCTACAGCCACCATGAGAGCTTCGGAGCAAGCCAGTTTGCCAAGCAAGCCTAGACTGAAACGCGATCACCTTGGCTGGGACCCTTTAAAACTTAAACCCAGCGTTACACAGTATTGTCAACCCCCAGCGTTCAGAGACCACGAGCCAGGCCTACCGCCTGCACTCTAATTAACTCATTAAAACTAGCCATGCCGATGCTACAGGGCGGGCTGCGTCCGCGCTGCGACATGCTCGCTGCTATTCTAGCCAGCTCGCTGGCATGAGTGCGTCCACACGAGATGCCACTCACCGCCCTGCCCGCTGGGCAGACACACACAATTCATACATACTCCGAGAAAGGGACTCTGGAAAGCATGGCAAACCGCTGGTCCGGCAGAGTCCCAGCCCAGCCCTGCCATAGGTTTCATGAGAGGCAGTCACAGTGCTTATCCCGAAGTTCCCCGGGGCCAGCAGAGAACAAGGGCAGGTTCATTCTTTTTTTAAAATAATCAGAGCCACGGTTTCTGGACATTTGCTGGCAGTGAAATCTAGCTCCCGCAACGAAGAGAAACAGCCTGAAACGCGGCCGGTACTTACAAATATGGCCAGGTTAAACAAGATCATCATAACCTTGAGGAAACTGAAGCAGCCCATCTTTGCTCCTGAAAAGAAAACGGAGAGATTAGCGCAGCCCAAATAAATGGGTTCGTCTGTAAGGTGCCACAGGGACTCCTCGTTCCTTCTGCTGATACAGACTAACACGGCCGCCACTCTGAAACCTCGGAGCGAGAAGTTTTAGGGCAGACCCGTGCCTCACCCAGCAGGGAGCCCCAGTTACCTTCCAGGGGGGCTTTTCAACACTAGGGAAGACGCAAACGGCTCCCCTCTACGGCAGAGAGAAAGAGGAAGCCGAGACAAATCAATTCCTCTTTGACTGTTGCTCAAAGAGTCCGAGGGAAGTTTCCCAGCCCGGCTGCAGCAGCTCTCAAAGCCCCCAGCCCCGCTCCCTTCTCAGGGCTTCCCCCTCCCAGGGGCCAAGAGCTGAACCTCGCTGTGAATGAAGTCCCCCACCTGCAGAAGGAGGGGTCACACCAGCAATGCAGGGCTCACCTTAGTGATCAAATCCAGAGGGGGGGAAATAAAATCCAAAGCAACCTCGAGACCCCAAACCAGGCGATGCTCCTGTAGCGCTGGGAGTCTGTCCTACCTGACCCAGACCCAGCCCTGCTTTCCTTTCACCAGGTGCTGTGCCCAGCTTCTTAAGGGAGCCTAAGTGGCAGTTGTCTCCTCCAATCAGAAACTTCCCCCTTCCAGCCCAATCAAATCCCTTAGGGGATGGTCCACTTCTCACAAACTTTTTTTTTTAGTAGGTTACAGGGGTAGTTGAAGGATTCTCTTTAGTCCTTGCTGGCCCCTAGCGGCTGCAGGGAGATATTGCTTCCTGCTCGTGGCACCTTAGAGACTAACAAAGTTATTTGGGCAGAAGCTTTCGTGGGCTACAACCCACTTCATCGGATGCATGGAGTGGAAGATACAGTAGGAAGAGATATATATACACAGAGAACATGAAAAAATGGGTGTTGCCATACCCACTGTAACGAGGGTAATTAATTAAGGTGAGCTATTAGGTGAGCTATTATCAGCAGGAGAAAAAACTTTTGCAGTGATAATCAGGATGGCCAATTTCCAACCGTTGACAAGAAGGTGTGAGTAACAGCAGGGGGGGGGAAATTAGCATGGGGAAAACAGTTTTACTTTGTGTAATGACCCATCCACTCCCAGTCTTTATTCAAGCCTAGTTTAATGGTGTCCAGTTTGCAAATTCATTCCAGTTCTGCAGTTTCTCGTTGGAGTTTGTTTTGAAGGTTTTTTTGTTGGGGTCTTGCGACGTTGCGATCTGTCATTGAGTGATCGGCGAGGTGGAAGTGTTTGGGCCCAGATCCTCCAAGGGGTTTTAGGTTTGATCCCTTTCAGCATCTGGGCCACAGAGCTGGGGTTAGAGGGCCTGGTTTTCTGCTGCCCACTGTAATTCCTGAAGCTTTGCTAGCGGTGGCAGGATGATGGGAGTTGTGTTGCGTTCAACCCAGGAGCCCCCAGCCGTCGTTTGATTGCAAATGTGTAAGCGTCGTTTTCAAATCGACAGTGGTTTGCGGGAGGCGTGTGTGATGCAGACTGCGTGTTGCCGTGTGCATGCCTGTGAGAGTGTGAGAGGGCATGTTTGCGCGATTGTCTGCAGGAGCTTGCATGGGTTCCCAGGTACGCATGTCGTGTGTGCAGGGTCATGCGTGTGCATGTGTATGTAACCCACAGGCTTGCATTGCAGTGGTGTAAAGCAGCCATTCTCAACCCCAGGACCTTCATTTTTGATAAAAAAAAAAATTGCGGACCCCCCAAGTCTCCCCCCGCTCAGCCCCAGGCCCCGCCCACATTCCCCCTGCCCCTCCTTTTCCACACCTCTTTCCACCCCCTCCCCTGAGCACGCCCCATCCCCGATCCTCCCCCTCCCTCCCAGCGCCTCCTGCACGCTGCTAAACAGCTGTTCCGCGGCGTGCAGGAGGTGCTGGGAGGGAGGGGGAGGAGTTGATCAGCGGGGCCCGTGGACCCCCTGGAGTACCCTTGCAGAGCCCACTTTGAGAAACGCTGGAGTAAAGTAAAGGAAGAACCTGTGGAGAGGACACACAAGTCATGTTTTGGGGAGTCTGGCTCAAATCCTCCAAGATATTGAGCTGCCTAAATACCGTTCACGTTCTGGGCGTGTGTCCCTTCAGGGTGGCTCTGCTGGATTCAGAGATCCTAGATTTCAAGGCCAGAAGGGACCATTGTGATCAGCTAGTCTGACCCCCAGTAGAACGCAGGCCAGAGACCTGCCCCAAACAACTCCCAGAGCAGAGCTTTTAGAGAACCATCCAATTTTGATTGAAAAAATGGTCAGTGATGGAGAATCCACCACGGCCCTGGCTAAATTGTTCCAATGGCTAATTACTCTCTCCCCTAAGAATTTACACCATATTTCCATCTGAATTTGTCTCTCTTCAGCTTTCAGTCGCAGGATCGTGGATGGGCCAGTGTCATCCAGAAACTGGGGTCGGGGGAGGCACTAGCTATACTAATTAGCTACTTGGGTGATTTCCATTGTGGGCAAGCAGGCTGGCAGGACGCACCCAGAGTCACTCCTGGAGAGTGGAGCCCATGGAAACCCAAGTTTATAAATAGGAATGGGAGCCAGACTGGATGATTCAGCCGTGGAGCAGCGCAAGCCCCAGATGGCTCTGCTGTATGGGCCGTGTTCCTAGGACTTTGCCAGCTTGTTGGATCTAGCCTGCCGGCTCCCTCAGCCCACCGGAGAAGAGGCCTGGAATTGCTGCAGCCTGTGCACATTGCAGATTGTCATTGCCAGGGCAGTTTGCAGGAGACTGTGGGACTATTGCATGGATGTGCCCTGCAGAGAGGGCTGTTACCAGCTCTGCCCGTTACTTTAGGGTACGCTCATTTATTAGGGTTACTCTTCCAGTGGGAAGTCTGTACTTCTATCGATGTACTGCTTGTGTCACTTGTGTTCCCACACGGAGCTCTGCTTCTCCCTACTGCAGGTTCCCTCCCAATGGAGCTGTCTGCAGGACCTAGGTGGGGGTGAGGATCGGGGCCAGGCACTGGGGACGAGTGTGAGGATCAGGGCCAGGCACTGGGGGACGGGTGTGAGGATAGAGGCCAGGCACCGGGGT